TTTCTCCACTGTGCAGGGTGTTCTGTGTGGAGTGTGTCATGAGTCTGTGGTTGAGAAGCTTTATTGACAGGACTAATCCCATCCTTCCCAGAAGTTGGAAGCCTCCCTTGGGTACCAGCACAGCTCCCTGCTCCCAGGTGCTGTGTCCCTTCCCTCCCACAGGGAATACAGCAGCACCTAGTGGCCAGGTGTTCTCAGAGCCCTGGAAGGGTCCCCACCAGGGCCTAGGTCCTGAACTGACATTTAGTGAAGAGCAAAAATCTTTCAAGAGTGTTTTCATTTTGCAAAGTGAAAACCATCTGCTACAATGATTTTTCCTTGTCTCAGACACTTCTATTCTGCCATACCCTCAGGAAACCTTTGCTCTAGCCTGGAAAACTCAGAACAGAGATGGAAAGGGCAGCTCTGACTGGCCCTTGGTTCCCACACAGACTGAATCAGTCCTCAAGCTGATCCAGTGGTGCTGGAGCATGAAAGAAAAGCCTACAGCTCCCATGCTGTAGTGGACAAGAGCAGAAAGCAGCTCATGGCAGTATAAGTTGGAGAAAGGCTGTGAGTCAAGTGCATTTTGTGGAATGGAGTTTCTGTATGAGTTTTAGAAGAAATGCTGGAATACTACTATAAAGCCTTCCAGAAAAGAATCCATTTTATTTAAAGCATAACCCTCTAATTCAGGCTGATCTGCTTTAGGAGCTGCTGTTTGAAATTCTCCACGAGTTCAGGTGCAAACTTATCAGCAGTCAAGTTCTTGACATTCAGGATCCCTTCGTGGGCTTCCTGGAAGAGCTTCTTCCCCACAGCTTCTTCCGCCCGCCTACGCCACTCTGCCAACTTTGGCCTCTCCTCAAAGAGGTCATAGCCAGCGCCCACAGGCTGCAGAGAGAGAGAGCACCCAGGAGTGAGTCAAACAAGGCATTTACCAGGGATGGAACCAAATGAAGGACAGATATGCTTCTGGCTCAAGGCAGCAGACAGTCATCACACTAGGTGGAGCTTATCTCCCCGGGGACATGTAGCCAAGAGCTCTGCAATGGCTAAGCCAAGAACTGTCTTAACACGGAGCATGGAGGTCCATGCATGCCAGCACATCACTTCCAAGTAACTATACTTTCTCTGCCTAGTTTGTAATTTATCCTTTTTTCATGAGGAATTTTGTTCATATTTCTATAGAAAGAACTGTCTCATCAAAGTAATTGTTCCTTGGCAAACTTAATTATGGTCAAAGTCAAAAAGTAACAAGACTTAACTCTGCAGAAGAGTTACTGCAGGAACACCTGCCATTACAGAGGTGCTGGTGCAGCAGCCACACCTTGGCCTGGCCTCCCACAGCCCAACTCACATACCCAGCAGTGGTGGGGTTGATGCTCACCTGCATGAGGCCCACCAGTGCTACAAGGTCTGCCAGGGAGATCTCACTGCCTGCAATGAAGGGCTTGTCCTGCAAGAACTTCTCCTCAAACTGCTTCAGGACAACATTCAGGTCCTCAGTAATAACTTCCATTTTCTCTGGAGGAAGTGCCTGGCCTGTGAGGATAGGCAGCACTGCCTGTCCGGGAGAAGAAATAAGTTGCTTTTTATGTGTTTCCTTCCAAACCTAGTCATCACCCTTTCACTGTCACCTTCTGAGGACTGCTCACCAGCCATGCGTGAGAAGAACAAAAACTACTCCTCTCTCTTGCCAGGTTAACATTCATCTGAGTCATTCCTGCCTCTCCTTGTCTCCTCCCTAGAAATCTCAAATGTCAACTAAATGTCAATCAAAGGTCAAGGGAAGACTACATCATCTGCCAGCAACTGCATGTTGCTTTTCAGTTGGAGGTTGGTTCTTTCCATGAAGCCAAACAGCTGGCACTGAGCTGTGTCTGGTGAGAGCTGCTCACCCAGGATGGGTTTGCTCTGCACCTCACAGAGCTGTGGTTGCAGCATGAAGGGTTTGGGCCACTTCAGTTAGGCTTAGCTGAGCAGTCAAGTTAATTCTAGATCTACTTTTGTTAGTATCTGTCACCTGGCTTGTACATTTGCTCAGAAGGGCCCTGCACACAGGAGGGCCATTGCACTCTCAGCTCTTAGCACTTAATTTTTGGTATAGAATGGTCTTACCTTTGTTAAGAACACCTTGCTCCCCTTTGCGTGGATGTTGGCATGCTGCCATGACAGGTACTCATCAACCCTAGCCCTTTTCTGCAGGTCAGACGGGTACCAGTGATCAGGAGTCTTGAATTTCTGGGCCAGGTACAGGAGGATTGCAATGCTATGCAGAGAGCAAGACAGACTGGTAAGCTGATCATCTGAGATTAAACCACCTCGTCCTTTCTTCTCCCCTCAAATTTTGCACTGCTGGACAAGCAGCAACACAAAACTGATCTGAGTCAGGTAGAAGTGCAGGACATGTAACTGCCAGTGAGACACCACAGGAGTGAGTTTGTGTTGGCTCAACTGGCTGCTTGACAACAGCTGTTCGAGTTGCTTACGTAAGAAAGCTTCTCTTGAAACACAGGAGGAGAAGAACTGCCTGGGCTGGAGTCCCAGTAGTGCACCAGCACTCCAAACATTGGGATAAACAATACTGCAGTAGGGAGTTGAGTTTTTTTGAGCCTCACCTCTCTGCTAAGGTGAAAGAACCATCTTTTAGTGCAGGCACCTTCATCAGGACATTCACCTTCCGGTACTCCTCTGTCTTGTGCTGTCCTGAGGAGGGAAATGAGAAGTTTTACTTGGCAGGGATACTCAGGACCTGTCTGCAAACACCTGAGGCGTTTGTGGGGACCATCTGGCCTCAAGTTCTTGTTTTTTTACTGTGAGAGTGGTGAGACACTAGCACAAGTTGCCTAGGGAAGTGGTGGCTGCCCCAACCCTGTCAGTGTTCAAGGCCAGGCTGGATAAGGCCTTGAGCATCCTGGTCTAGTGGGGAGGTGTCCTTGCCCAGGGCAGAGAGGCTTCTGACTTAATGATCTGTAAGGCCCATTCCAACCCCTAAAATTCCATGATACCCAACCAGTAAGTGCTGCAAGGGTGAATAGGGAGGTTGCCTTATGGTATCAGCTTACGTGCTTATTGTCTGCATACCAGACCCACCTTCTCAACCAAGGGCAGAATGGTTAGGAATCCTTTCATACCACGAGCCCTTGTCAACTCTATCAGCTCCAAGTTTGTGCCTGGAGATACCTGTCTTGTACAAACCTAGAGTGAGCACTGAGCACCTTGAAGGGAAGGGATCTCAGTATCAGAAACGTGAACAACAAAGACAGTGAGAAAGCAGATTTTTTTTTCCTCCTAGAAGATAATGCAATTTATATTCATCTTTCTTTTTAGTCTTCAGATGAAAACAAATGTGAAGCCATGGGTGCTTCATTGCAGATCTTTTGATCAGCTCCTGTGCATTTTGCATATACTTTGCCAGAACAAACATGGATTTGAATTTGCTTTTAAGCTATCTGGTAGGTCCCTCATGAAAGGCAGGCAGAGTGAACCTGACAGGAGAAGGTACTTCATTCATCTGAGGTCTTGGCATGCTCCATTACGTCTGAACCCAGTCCCAGGAGCCTTGTTTTATGTGACTTGTTTGTGCCAGCCTTTTCCAGCTGCTGGCTTCAGTCATACTTGTGTATCTGCATATTCAAGCCTTTCTAACGTGTTACTAACCTTACTTACTTACTAACGTGCCATGTCCTGCTATGTGAGTCACCTGAGAATCTCTGTGCCAGAGGAGATGCTCTGAAAGCAGGTTTAGCTTTCCCAGTACTTGGCACACCTGATTTATGACTTTTCCCCTATCACTTGGCTCACAGCCCATTCCCCATACCAGCTTTCAAAAAGATCAAGTGTGCAGATTCCAGGTCTGCAGGTGTCCCTTGAATGTCCTGTGATTTCTATCCTCACTCTTTCTACCCCTTTCCTTGAGACCTGCACTACTAGGGCCCAAGAGCTTTTCTGGGGCAACACATGAAACTCACCAGCTCAATTTTGAGTCTCAGTTCCCTCACCTGGTCCTCGTGTACCGTGCAGTGATGGTACCAGTGCAGTGAGGCCTCCCACACTGTGTCCCAGAGCAAGCTAACTCAGCAGCAGGTACCTGGAGTGCTTCCCCATGGCATGGGAGGTGCACATGCTGCAGGAATGAGACAGGCTGCACCTCTAGCATTCCCATGGGGCAAATTACCCATCTTAAATCCACTGACCAAAAGCAGGCACTGATGCCACAGGGCCCAGAGCACTGGGAAATTGTGATTTAATTCACTTTCCTTCCTCTCACTTCCCTGATACTTGTATTTCAGTTGTTTCATTCTCCTTGATGCTCTCCTTGCTTGCCTGCCAGCCTCCTCTCCTCTGCAGCAGTCTTACCACAACAGTTTATTGATTGGGAAGGACACTAGATGAGCGTGCCCCCAGCTACAAACAATTGCAAAAGTTTTTGCTATGAGACAAGTGGGAGGAAAGCCACAGTAAAGCACAATTGGCACAAAGATAAAGTGTGCTGGGGAACACCCAGAGACTTAACCACAATACGCCTGAGATTGAATCATGAGCTAGAGCCTCTTTCATTCCTTTATCAATTTCAGCCCCAGGAGTCTTCTCATCTTTCATTGATTTTAAGCATTACTTACTGAGGCACTTTTATGCTCAATACATTACCTTAATTTCAAATCCAGCAGAGCTCTGGAAAAGCTGAAGAATGGCTTTTACCAGCTTCAGTTACAAAGAAAGAAGATACAGATCTTTGGGCATCCTTTGGTGAAAACACATGATACCCCTTGAACAGGCTCCGACCAATTATTTTAACTCAGCTAAACCACCTTCCCCTCTTCATTTCTAGGTGTTCAGATTGCTGGCAGCTGCACTGTCTCGCTCCACAGCCTTAGCATGTCTGTCCTCAACCCTCTCAAAATAACCTGCCTACAAACTGCTTGAGCCAATAGACCACCCAAAGGGACAGCTGGCTGCCCTGCCCTGCCTCTCATGGGGACACACCAGCAAGCTCATGCATGAGGACCCTCCCAAGGGGCTGCTAACCCCTAACAAGAGAAGAGCTGCTCTGCAGCAACCACTGCTGCTTACTGGTGCACAAACTTTTCTAAAGAAGTTGAATTAGAGAACAAGAGCCTCACTCTGCTGTCTTTACCCACACATGGATGCCCCATCTCTATGGCTTTTGGTTTCCTATCTCAAGGGGCAATGGCACCAGACCCTGCACATCCTGAGCACTGTCTCTCAGAAAAGTGTCTCTTTTCAGAGACGTATTTTCTGCTGGGGTGAGGCTGATTTCAAAGACATAGCACGCCTTTGCATACCTGTTTGCTGCAGAGGAGCACAAGCACTAAGATCACTACTTAAAAATAGAGGGTTGCATTGGAGAATTAGGTCCTGTTTCTGTGTTGGCACCAGGAGCCCTCTGCAGTGGGAGGGCCACCCGTCCCTCTGGAGCATCTGGCGCTGATGGGGACGGTGAGTAACCCGCTCGCACCCCCGGGCTGGGGCCAGGGGACCCACGAGCAGGCGCGGGGAGCACTGGGGACC